CATGGGATATAAAAGAGTGCAGGCATTGATGTTGTAAGGTAAAAACATTTTTTAAAAAAAAAAAAGGGCTCGGAGGTGTAAAGAGCGTCCTTCTTCAAGCAGGGCTTGAGGAACAGTGCTGTGCTCTGCAAGTGCAAATCATGTTGCACTTGGCCGTACACCCAGTGCAGTGAAAAGACTCTTAAGGTGGCAAAGCCAGGGAGGCGGTGTAGCCAGCTATTTTTTCTGAGCCAGTCAGGAGTAACTGAACTCCACGAATGGGAACCGCCCTCTGTGATCAGCAAGAAGGAAATGCTGGGCCTTGTCACTGATCTGGAACAAGCCATAAATTCCAGTCGTATTTTTAGAATTTGGTTTGAGTCTCTCTAATTCCCAAAGGCATGGAGACGCTGCTGTTAGCAGAGAGTGATTTCTCTAACCCTGCTGCCTTCCTGTAGCTGGCCAAGTGGAAGACTGCTGAAGAAGTGGCTGCCTTGATTCGATCACTTCCTGTGGAGGAGCAGCCCAAGCAGATCATTGTGACTCGGAAGGGCATGTTGGACCCACTTGAGGTAACGATACGGATACTGCTTTGTGGGGACACTGTCAAAGCTTTGGGAGATTGCAGAACAGTCCTGTGTTCCTGTGAAGGACTCTATCTGGATTGATGTTCTGCAGTACCTGTGAGCTAATTCCTCTTCTTGATAAAATCCAGGTGCACTTGCTGGATTTCCCCAATATTGTGATCAAAGGCTCAGAGTTGCAGCTGCCCTTCCAGGCCTGTCTGAAAGTGGAAAAGTTTGGTGATCTCATCCTGAAGGCTACCGAACCCCAGATGGTTCTCTTCAATCTCTATGATGACTGGCTGAAAACCATCTCTTCCTACACGGTAAGCACTGCGTGCCTAGTCTGCGTTTTGCTTTGCCGCTGGATGAGGCAGGAGCCAAGGCTTCGGAGATCTCTCACAATTTGTTGCTTGGGAGCACCTGGCTCTGAGCCTGCCAGGATTTTCCTTCAGATTGATTCCGCTGGCGCTTCCCCTGCAGTGTTGGTGTGCCCAAACTGAGGAGTGCTGTACTAGGGCCTTGTAGATTTGTTTTCCTTCTTTCTGACTAGCTGCATCTTATTTTCTTCTCCAAGGCATTCTCGCGTCTGATTCTGATCCTCCGGGCACTACACGTGAATAACGATCGAGCCAAAGTTATTCTGAAACCAGATAAGACAACCATAACGGAGCCTCACCACATCTGGCCAACCCTGACAGATGAGGAGTGGATCAAGGTGGAGGTGCAGCTGAAGGATCTCATCCTTGCTGACTATGGCAAGAAGAACAAGTAAGCTACTCTCCAGCTGCAATAATCCTGTCAGCCTTTCCTTCCTGCTCTAAAGGCCCTGTGGCCAGAGTGCTCCTTGTGGAGAGTAGAAGACTTCCAAGGGCCTTTGGCAATGAACCATCAGCTTTGCAGGGAAACTGTTTATTATTCTTAATTGCTTTCTAGTAAGGCAGATAAAAATCACTGCACCAAACCTTTCCTGGCATGCGCATCGTGTGATTTGGTCCCTCCTGTTGTCCAAAAAGTTGTGTGTTCCTTTTCCATAGCACCCTGAGTGGAAGTTCTGAGGTTGTGCCTTGGTGAGAAGGGTTCAGAATGGATTTTGAAATGCCTGACTTGGGTGGATCTTCTCTTTCAGTGTGAACGTTGCATCCCTGACGCAGTCCGAGATCCGAGACATTATCCTGGGCATGGAGATCTCTGCCCCCTCTCAGCAGAGACAGCAGATTGCAGAAATTGAGAAGCAAACCAAGGAGCAGTCGCAACTGACAGCCACGCAGACCCGCACTGTTAACAAACACGGGGATGAAATCATCACCTCTACAACCAGCAACTATGAAACCCAGACTTTCTCCTCCAAGACTGAGTGGCGAGTCAGGTAGGAAGGCCGGCAGGGCTGCTGTGCCAGGAAAAGGTCAGAGTGCTCAGGAAGGGATCTGTGCACCCTCTAATAACTGGCTCCTCTTCACAGAGCAATTTCTGCTGCCAACCTCCACCTGCGAACAAACCACATTTACGTTTCATCAGACGATATAAAGGAAACAGGCTATACGTACATTCTTCCCAAGAACGTGTTGAAGAAATTCATCTGCATCTCAGATCTGCGGGCCCAGGTAAGTGTGCAACGAGTCTGTGGCAGTTGTACTCCACGCTGCTGGGGCTCACACCAGTCCTGGGCAGTCAGGGAAGGGCTGGGAACTTGCCGCTGTCCATGCGAAGCCCTCTGTGCTCGAGACAGACACTGGCAATATGGCTGAGCACCCAAGTTCTAACCAGGTCCTGATGGCTCCTTGTGGCCCAGTCTTGCGGGGGGAACTCAGCACTGAACAAAACCATGATGTTCTCCTCGAGTGAGAACCTGCCAGCCAAGAGATGGTCTCCTCAGGAACAAAGGGCAGGGCCCACCCCCCCTCACACGGTTACACGGGGGTCTCTCCTGCGCTTCTAAGGCAGTTGTTTGTGTTCCTAGATTGCAGGTTACCTCTACGGAGTGAGCCCTCCCGATAACCCCCAAGTGAAGGAGATCCGGTGCATTGTAATGGTGCCCCAGTGGGGAACGCACCAGACCGTGCATCTCCCAGGGCAGCTGCCACAGCATGAGTATCTCAAGGTGAGTTGAGCTTCGGCTCCCGGTGTGGGTGGAAGATCACTGTCTGCAGTAGTGGGGACGTGAGGTGGTGGGACAGCTTCCCTTGCTATGCTGTAGACGTGGGCCTTAAAGAGCTCGGCCTGAAGCTGGGATCTGAGATCAGGTGAAAGAGAAGCCTTCAGCCCCTCCGTGCTTTTTGCCACGCTCGAAGCGGTCTTGTTTTAAACGCTTCATTTCTCTCTGAAACGCTCTTCTTTTTGGCAGGAAATGGAGCCCCTGGGGTGGATTCACACCCAACCAAACGAGTCCCCTCAGCTCTCGCCGCAGGATGTCACCACCCATGCCAAGGTCATGGCTGACAACCCCTCCTGGGATGGGGAGAAAACCATCATCATCACCTGCAGGTGAGAGGTGGGGAGGCTTCTGTCTGCCCCCTCTGCTGATGGGGCCTGTGGCTGCAGTGCCTGGGGACACGCCGAGGTCTCAAACTAAAAATTTGGCAGAAAGAGCGTGTTTGCTCATTTCTGGTTTCCCTCCTCCGCCCCAGATCAGTCTGACTTGCCCCATCTCTCCTTTCCTTCAGTTTTACTCCAGGCTCCTGCACGCTGACAGCCTACAAACTGACCCCGAGCGGCTACGAGTGGGGCAGGCAGAACACGGACAAAGGGAACAACCCCAAGGGCTACCTGCCATCCCATTATGAGAGGGTGCAGATGCTGCTGTCCGATCGCTTCCTCGGCTTCTTCATGGTCCCAGCGCAAGGCTCCTGGAACTACAACTTCATGGGTGAGCTGCCCTGGGAAAGGGACAGGGAGGGGAGGCCACCCCAATAGCTTGGGGAGGAAAAGGAATTAGCTCCTCGGGGAAGCGTTCCTTACCCTTTCTGAAGCTTGACCTTCCTTGGAGCGGCTGGCAGCGATACCAGCGCTCTGGTCTGACCTTCCCTTTGTGCCAGCACCGGGATGTCAGTTCTCAGTGCTCTTCTTGGTGGCAAGAAAGCAAACACTGAGAGAGGGGAGAAACAGACGTCATTCTGGAGTGTAGTGTTTAGTCTATTGCCACTGAATAATTAATCCCTGTCAGATGATAATGGAAAATGCAAGGGAAAAGCTGCGCCCAGTAGGAGAGAAAGGGGAGGTCCTGGGCTGGTGAACCACAGGCAGCTCAGAAGGGGTCAGGAAAGGAGGAGAGGGGCAGACAGTTGATGAGCAGAAAGGAACTGTGGTGGCATTGACCTGTAACTCTGTAGGGGGAGGAACCCACAGGGTGATGATTTTGGGGATTTAGAATTCTTTCTTTCTCTGTTGTTTGCTTAAAAATTACCTTGTGAGGGTAAGGGGCTTCGCTACACCCCTGATCAGTGGTGGAGGCGGGGCGGGGGCAGCGTTCAGGTGGGTGACGGACTCTCTCTTCCAGGCGTTCGCCACGACCCCAACATGAAGTACGAGCTGCAGCTCGCCAACCCCAAGGAATTTTACCACGAGGTCCATCGCCCTTCTCACTTCCTCAACTTCGCCCTGCTGCAGGAGGGGGAGGTCTACTCCGCCGACCGCGAGGATCTCTACGCCTAGTCCTGCCCTCGCCCCCTCCCGGGACTGTTGATATTCAACAGCGTGTGCGTGTGCGATCGTGTGCGTGTGCCCCTGCCCACGGACCCCCCGCGCCCTCTCTGCGGTTCCCGTAACCCCTCCGGTTCTTGTAAACCCCTCACGTTGCTCAATAAATTTTTTACGAACGGGA